GGGGATGGGAGTGGTGGGGAGTGTGCAGACTGAATTCTGTAGCTGGAGGAAAAGACCTGTGTACTGCTGTGCCCTGCTATTCTTCCCTAGGCATGTCACCTTCTCGGCCAGGGTCTATGAATACCCTTTCTGTGTCAGTTATTGCTTTAAAATTAATTTCTTTTTAGGTAGCTTCCTCTCTGGAAAGAAAAGGATGGTTGATTTGGGATGAATATAGACATTGAAAGAAAACTTCCAAACCCAGTGATTTGAATATTTAGAAGTGTAAAACATTGGCCAGAACCCTGTCCCCCATATGTCAAGGACAATGAGTGTTGTGTAAATAGTAACTTATAAGAAGCATGAATTTCCTCTTTTTAATGATCTTGACATAAGCAAGAGAATGCTAACTATGTTATGTAGAGCCAAGTATGCCACCTCATATGTTGTCTTTAGAAAATTTTTGTGTAGTGACCTGGGAAGTAAATTGTGATGACAAAGGCAAATTGGCTCTGAGTTTCAATTTAAGGTATTTTCTTTAGACATGTAATTAAATTTCACCCCCTGCATGGCTCACAGGGTGGGCCTGTTGGAGTTTCAGCTGTGTATTGGTACAGATCTTGAAATTTTCTAGGTCAGTGCTGCTGGATAGGTGGAAATTGTTTTATAATCTGTGCTGTCCATAGACTGGCCACTAGTCACTTGGCTGTTGGGTAATTAAGTGAGGATGACTGTAGAAGTGACGTTTGTATGGTATTTAATTTTAAGCAATTTAAAGTGAAATGTTCCCGTATGGCTTGTGGCCATCACATTGGCTGTAATGACATCAAGAGGCTCACAAAGTAACAGTAAGGCCAAGAGAGAGTTTGCAGGCTAGCAACAGTTTCCCAAAGGAAATGCCTTAAAGAAGTTTATGAGCTCTGGGGGTGAGGGTGATAATAAAGTCTCATCCATTGTCCTTTGGGTTTATTACGTAGATATTTTAGACCAAGGATTGAACAGTGAAACTTAAAGAGAGCTTTATTAAAGCCCCTTTCTAGGACCATTAGTTGCATGTGAATCTATTGTCCAGAGCTCATAGCTAGACAATAGCTGTAAAATTTTTGACTTGCAAGCTATGCATGACCTGTGCTGTGAAACTGTGTTTAGGGTCTTGTGGTCAAAAAAAGTCAATGTTACAGAAAATCAAATAAAAAAAAAAAAAGAGTCTGATGAAATTCCCATTTGCTTCTGATCTCTTTCCCGACTTCATCACTGTATCAGTGAGGTGGGAAACCCAAGAGCAAGCACCGTTTGTGGTGTTTGCATTTGTGCTTGAAGTCAGACAGTTTGTCATTGTATTTGGTGTGGGCATTTGTGGGTGTAACTTTCTGGATGTCAGGCTAAAATGGAGGCACTATTTTTAGAGTGAGATGTGTCATTGTTTTAGTGTCTCTCTTTTTAAATTAAGTTATTATTTTAAAAGGTTTGAAACTTTGCACAAAGGCACTTTTACATTTTTCATAGTTAAAAAAAAGCAAAACATGGCCCAGTAGAATTTAGACACTGGAAGGTTATTACAGTGGCTCTGTAGAATTGCTTTTAAATGGGTAAAGGGAAGCAGAAAATTCAGCTTGAGATACATTTTTTTTTAACATAAAGATGAGACTGTTGCAGATAGTCTGGCATTTATTCATGTTTAGATTTTGACTTAAAGTGTTCCAGTTCCTTCATTTTAAAATCTGTGCTGTGTCAAAATTGCTTAGCCTGCTTCTTCATTGCTCTCCCAATGTAATGGAAACCAAATGCATTTGCGTTAATGGAGCAGAATTGGGTTGAGCTTTCAATTCTGCAGCATTCAGTAGGGAAGACTACTCCTTGGGGTAGTCTTGTATCTATATGTTAGCCAAATGGTATTTTCTTAAGTCTTTTGGAAGTTAGGAGGGCAAAGGTATTCATATGCTATGGGTTATACCCACATGACTGCAGGGCTCCTTTCTTAGAAGAATGATGCTATGGACCAAGCAGCATTCTATAACCACACCAGATGTGGTTGACATAGATGTAGAAGTTGCTTCTAGACATTTCCACCATACTCAGTAAAACATCACCTGGAAGGTGATCCTCACCCAGACAGAGACTTCATGAAACAATGAGACATGCCAGATAATTTACTCATGATGTCTATTTGAAGGAGACAATTGCTGGACTGTTTTCAACCTGAAACTCTTGAAAAATAAGTGGAAATTCAAGCCATTTTTTCTGATACAATTGACTTATTACACTACACCACACACACACACACACA